ATAATCACAGTCTGGCTGTGTCAGCTGCCAGCCTTCGGGAAGCTGGTCAGGGCTCTACGGCTCTCTGAGCTGGTTCTGTAAATTCTCTGTACCGTGGTTTCCAAACGAAACGTCGAACAGGACGCGACAGGGCGGGGAAGGCCCTGCTTTCTCCTCACTTGGGCAGGTGAGCAGGACGACCGATCTCAGCGAGGCCGTACGGAGGCTGTGGCTACAGTCCCTCCTCACCCGCAATGACATAGGCGCCAAGTCCGTCTCCAGGTCAGCGACACGCTGCGCAGACTGCAGGTTAATGGACCCGTGCAGGGTCTCAGATGCTCGTCGGAGACCCTGAGTTCTGGTTGGGCTTCAGCACGTTCCCGGTTAGATTGATTTAGAGAGAAATGGAGCCTAACTGACGGTAGCATAGTGTTGGTCTCACAGGGCCCTTCGTCCCTCAGTGTGACCTTGTGCAGTCCAGGCAGGCAGGGCAGAGCGGCGCTGGCGAGTGGCTGGGCGTGAGCCTCACGGACGTCCCAGGACAGCGCTGCTCTGGCAGTAATAGGCGGCCCGGCCGGTCCCCCGCGGCCCACATGCACCCCCAAAGCGCTCTGACTCCTGAACGTGCTCTGAGCGTCTTCTCCACCAAACCTGTCGAGCGGTGTGGGGTTCGCCCCTGGTCCTGGACCCGCACCCGTGTGCGGGGTCCGTGTGCTGGGACGGAGAGGGGATGCGTTCGGGTGCTGAAATGTAGCCGCTTTCGGGGACGGGGGCGGAGGGAGGGGACCGAGCGCAGGCGGTTGGGTCTCACAGGGCCAAGCTTGGTCACTGGAGGGCCCTGCAAACTGGTGCACTCGGGTGTGTTTTGGGACACAGGGTGAAGGTGGTTTGTTCGCTGTCCCTGTCTTTCTCCCCCCAGGTGCCCCGTCACAGGAGGGGGGGGGCGATTCCCATCTACCTGCGCATATTTGAAGGATTTTGATGCCCTCTCGTTATTTCCTGTCAAAACGAGGTGTTCCTAATTCCTTGAACCCCGTGTCTCCCCCTGTAGCTTAGCTCTGAACCACGATCCATTTTCTCTTCTCGGTGTGTCCAGAGCCCTGAGTCGGACGGCGCGCCCCCGTCACGTGGGAAGGAAAGAGCTCGGCTGCTTCGCGCCCCCCAGGTCTCAGGGCAGGAACAGGACGCCTGGACCGTGAGGCCGGAGCCCTGGGAGAAGCGGCAGAGGTGGGGGCGGAGGAGCCGGCTGGGCACAGCGGAGCCGGCCAGGGACCGCCCGCCTGACCTGCGCGCGGGCCTCGGGCTCAGAACACGAGCCGCCACGTGTGACAGACAAATCGTTTTGGCACATGACGTCATTCACCACGTTCAGACTGCCTCCACGTAGCCATGGCAACCCTCACCTAGAACACAGCTGAGTGGTAATTTCAGTCCCAACTAAATGGGAACAGGCCTAACCCTATGATTGTGCTTAACAATCCCCACGCCATCCCCTCCTAGAGCATCCTTGCCTGTGCTTCTGTCTTTTACAACAGAGTATTGGGGCCTGTGTGTGTTCACTGAGGCCACTGGCGGCCGTCAGCCTCGCCCGGCGGTGACACCTTGTGCCGGGAGCCCGGCACGGCCACCCACGGGCCACTGAGCGTGTCCCAGCAGCTCAGGGCTGGGTCAGTGTCCCCGACATTGCAGAAGGTACCTCCGAGGTCACCGTTTAGTGAGCCTTTCGGAGGTTGGCCTTGGTGTGTGTGTGTCAGGGGATCCCCTTCCCAAGGCGACTCTGCTCGTTTCAACAGCTACGTAGGGGAAACGTCTCCTGTCAGCCCCACCGAGGAGCCACAGAAAGATGAGAGGTCCATTTAAAAAGTGGCCTTACGGCCCGGCCGGTGTGGCTCAGTGGTTGAGCGTGGACCCTGCACCAAGAGGTCATCGGTTCAGTTCGCAGCCAGGGCACATGCCCAGGTTGTGGGCCCATCCCCAGTGGGGGGCATGCAGGGGGCAGTCAATCGATGTCTCTCTCATCATGTTTCTATCTCTTTCTCTATTTCTCTTTCTCTTTCTCTAAACATGAATAAAGAAAACAATTTTTTTTAAAAAGTGGCCTTATTGCCATGTCAAGATATTTCTTGTAGCAATTCCGGTAAACACTAAATGTCACCCGAAAAAGCTCTGTCTCCCCACTCAGCACGCACCAAAGTCCTGAGGCAGAGCAAAGGTAACTTCTGGAAGGGCTCTCAGCTCAGTGGGGTGTCCTGTTCGGGGAACAAATGGCTGGAGGGGGACAGGAAGTACGGTTTGGAGTCAGAGACCTTGGGGTACAGCTGGAGCTGTGCCCTGTGCTTTCTCAGCTTCTTCATCCGTAACTGCCCACGGGCCTTCGGTGCCCAGCCAACAGGACCGCAGAAACCCTCAGAGAATAAAACCACGAACACCAGTGCCCTCTGCTAACGGCTGGGAGAGAGCGCGGCGAGTCTTCGGACCACGCAGTGCGTAGGACCCAGCTCCACCCAGACCTCGCCCAACCACTGCCCGGCTTCCCGTTGGCTCCCAGATGGCCGGTCCTGGAGCCCTGGCAGAGCCCGAGATGGATCGCGCGGAGCTGCAGACGCCCGCCAGCCTGCACCCAGACACCGGAGGCCAGGGGTCAAGTTCCCCGGCTGCTGTACCAACGTTCCCTACGCGACAACAGTGCTGTGAGGCCTGACCTGTGCCGTGGACCCTGCTGGGCATCTCGGACACACCTGACCATCTCGCACTCGGACCCAGCCTCACACACTCTCTCAGGCTGACACTCAAGGGCCCAGGCAGGCGTCAGGGGAGGGGATGGTGAGCGACCAGGCAGAGAGCAGAGGAGCCCGCGGGGGAAGAGAAGAACCACCCTCCAGCCCGGCCGCCCTCCTGGCGCGAGTGATATGAAAGCACCCTGGTCCCTCGGGAGGACCCGGCTGTGCGAGCGGAGCTGCGGACCTCCTCCGCTCCTGCCCCCTTGGATCAGCACCTGTCTCACCCCCATCGTCACTGCAGACTTCAAGGGAACCTCTGTGCACCTCACTGCGTCTTCTCTCGTAAATGACATCTGTTCGCCAAAGCCGTCCCGATCGTCATCCCCGACCCTGTCAAACCCGCTGTGCTCGGCTCGCTGCCCCGGCCTGACCTCTGACCAGCGTGGTGATCATTCAGTACCAATCAGCCCCGGAACCCCTCGCCAATGAGGCCTGTGTACCACTATCCACATCATTTCTGAGAATCGGGCACCATGGATTTTGTATTGCAATGCAATGATTTTCTAAAAGCCAGAACAAAGCAATTTACTTTTTATATTTATTTTATTTACTGTTATTCCTCACCCAAGGATATTTTTCACTGATTTTTTTTAGATAGAATAGAAGGGAGGGAGGAAGGGAGGGAGAGGAGAGAGAGAGATAGTAATGTGAGAGAGACACGTCAATTGGTTGCCTCCCGCACATCCCCAACAGGGGCTGAGGATCGAACCTACAACCCAGGTATGTGCCTTGACGGGAAATCAAACCTGAGACCCCTTGGTCCACAGAGTGATGCGCTAACCACTGAGCAACCAGCCGGAGCGGAACATTGCAATTTTAAAGCTGAGAGAACGTCGCGTCACCGAACCTCTTACAGGGACTGACCGAGAACAGGCACCCAGGAGGTGTGTAATGAATTAACTCCAAAGCTCACTTAGGACAGCCCCCTTCCTTAAGTAAACAGCTGAGTGGTTGTCCAAGGCCACATGGTTTGTTTGTGGCAGAACTTGGAGGTAGACTGTCGGGCACGAGATTTCGGTTTAGAATGCCACCTCTGATCTTACACAGGTGAGACAGGCGGATATCATCACATTCTTGAGGGGTCAAGTTAAAACTGTACAATGAAATGAACAGACGGGTCAACTGGCTCAGTCTAAAGTGTTACTCCGGATAAACAACATGTGAAACCAAGGCTGTACAGGCAGCGGGTATGTTCTCCTCTTGGTAACATGCAACATAAACACAGTAACACCAGTGCAAGGAAACAATGTTTCCATCGATAGAAACCCTCTGCTTTGAGTCATGGGTCTGGGGAAATAAAATACAATTAAATGTTCGTAATTGTTTGGAACAGGTGGTCTAATTTAGGACATGCTTTCGGTCTGATATCGTTATTCTTTACTCTCTGTACTGAAATGTGAACTTGAATGTATGAAGAATCCACAACACGTATGCCGTGTCCCCCTCTCCCGGCACACTGGGCCAGCCTGCCTCTGCGTTCACCTGAACGGGGACACACCCCCAAGTCAGCTTACAGTTCCGCATCTGAAACACATTACTGACGCAGTTTTTGAAATGCTAAGAAATTAAATAATTACAACAAAATTAAGTAATTAGAACTGACAACAAATGACTTAGGTCAAGACCTGTTTTAGGACTTCAGGCATCTGCCTTTGAATTCTCCCTCTTCAATCTCCCTTGGAGAGGCAGTTCACGTGGCTCATGCAGCCAACACCTAACCCTATGTGGAGTGTGACCTGTCGGATCCGGTGTCCCTCGGACCCCACACAGCGCTCGCCAGAGTACTGCCGGACACAGCGCCAGGCGCCGGCAGTGTACCTGTTGGGTTAGTGTTTATGGTCTGCCTGTGACCCTCACAGGGGCCCTCGGTCTGGTGCAGTGTCCCCAGGAAGGACAGAGAGTATGCAACCATGCCGCACAGTAGACCTGTGACCGGTAATGTGCAAAGTCTAAAAATAGCTGATCACTTTCAGTTGGCAATGGACCGAATCCAGGACTCACCACGCTTAGTCATCTTCTGTGCGACTTCATGAGAACCCAGAATGAGGGCACAGAAAGTGCTGCGACGCACCCAGGGCCCAGAAAACTCCCCAGACCCAAATACCAGCAGACACATCTTAGAAACTTCGCGTCGGTCGCGATGAAGACGACCTTTCGGGAGCCAGCGTAGCGAGACCGACAGAACACGCAGGCCTCCCGGGGTCTCCGCGGGGGGACCGGGGGCGGCTCCTCCGCACTCACCATATGGACGGCGCCTCTGTCCCGCTGATGTCCAGGAAGTCATAGCCCTCCTCCAGCTGGAAGTCGGTGAAGACCAGAGCGATGGTGTCCCCAGGTTCGGCCAGGACGGTCCACGTGCAGTCCGCGTTGTTCTCGTACTCCGAAGGGAAGTGGGGGCTGGAGATGCTGCCGCTCGTGCCCCGCAAGGTGCCCCCGCAGGCTCCCTCGGCTGCAGGGACAGAGGAGGAGAGAGACACTTTTCAAGGTGGTCACATACACAAGCCCACCTACAGAGGTCACCCCTGATCAGTGACAAGTCTTTCCTAACCCACAACTGAGACTCAGCGAAGGGTCTCTGCAGATGGTCAGTGCAGTTCTGTGGACAGGCTCACGGGGCCTGGCAGTGACATCGCGCTGTTAACTGGATGGCAGCCTGGGAGGGCGGAGGGCGGCTTTCCTAGAACCTGTGTGATGGCCACACCCCTCCCGGTCCCAGGCAGACGAACCGCGGTGCCAAAGACTTCCTCTGACTCTCAGAAGATGGGGATACGTCGGCAGCATTTTAAGCCCTACGTGTGCGTGGCTGCCCTTCCTTAATGCTTCGAGACATCGCTCGGAAAACAGAGTGCCCTTAGAAGGAGGAAGTCGCCTTAATCTCTATTTCTATAGAGTTGGGAATGTGCATTTGAATTTCAGATAAGTTAACACCATGAGATGTTATCATTTCAGAGAGGCACGGATTCATAAGAAGTTTCCAAGTAGGCAAGAGTTGCATGAAAACTTAAACGGGAACATCCTGCAAAGCGCCAAGGAAAAAGTCAGAAAGAGGAAACACGGCTCAGACGTGAATAAGCCTTGCGATGGACGGCTGAGGCCGGAACTCCACCTGGAGACGCCTCAAACACGCTACTCCACAAACACGTGTCTACTCCTTCTATACAGTCACTGTGGACAGAACGTCAGGGAACGGACAGTGACGCTGGTAGCCCACCATCTACTCTTTCTATACAGTCACTGTGGACAGAACGTCAGGGAACCGACAGTGACGCTGGTAGCCCACCGTCTACTCCTTCTATACAGTCACTGTGGACAGGACGTCAGGGAACCGACAGTGACGCTGGTAGCCCACCGTCTACTCTTTCTATACAGTCACTGTGGACAGAATGTCAGGGAACCGACAGTGACGCTGGTAGCCCACCGTCAACAGTGCCAGAGAAAACCAGCGGAAGAAGACGGGACCTCGCTGCAGCAGCTGCTGGTCCCCACGAGGTCTGAGGACGCAGCTGCCCGCTTCCTGTGGCCCGTTGTGCTCAGAGTGGGTGTCCTTGGTTGGCCTGGACTGGGAGAGAGACTCTCCACTCGTGTTGGCCGATTTCCTAACGGCGGGTACGTAGTCGTGACGGGCCAGGGCGGGAAGAGAAAACCCTCCCGAAGGCTCCGGGGACACAGAGACGTCACCTGTACATCTCTGTCCCGACTTCAATGCCAGCTCCGATTTCCAAGGGACAGCGTGAACATCGGAGCTGCCCACAGTCTCGAAATGTCCGCGCAGGTCTCGGTTCCCCTTCACCTACCAGGAAGCGAGCGTGAACGAAGACGCCACGCTGTCTAGGTGGCACCCCCCTCACCATGTCGAGCTCTCCTGTAACAAAAGAGCAACAAGGAAAAAGCCCTTTCCGTTTAGGGGTCCCCATTCACAGAGGGCACCGTGGCCGGGCTTCGCACCCGGGCCACTGCCTTTGCGGCTCGATAATGCCCGGTGCCGGGAGGTTGTCCGGTGCGCCCCAGGGAGGCCAGAGGCCTGCCCGCTAACTGCCCGCAATACTCCCCGATGGCGATGACTACCGATGTCTCCAGACTGCCAACCTCGGGGGCCCAGCGTGCCCGCCTGAGAACCAGCGTGTGGAAGACTTTCCTGCTCCCCCAGTTTCAGTGGATTCTATAGACGGCCTTTCCGACGGGGAAACTGAGCCATATTACATGCCCCGTGCTCTTCCCTCTTTGAGTTCGGGTTAGTAATTTATTCTGAGGCATTTTGCTTATTTAAACAGACTAAAACACAGAAAGGGTGGCCATGGTGTTTTCCCTTAAATAATCTGTGTATATAAAAGAGAAGAATTAGAGTAACTGCAATAGTATTTGAAAATGGTCTCATTTTTTATACACATTATACAATTTCCCCATAAAGAATAAGCCTAGATAAACGAAGTTAATTAGGAAACAACTATGAAATTTTCTCAACTAAAATACTGTTATCTCTTTAGAAAAACCTGAAAATGAGTATAGATGTATAATAGATTTATTGTGGTTGTTTTCATTTAACATAGTTCCAATCCTAGGATTCATATTTGAGTGGAAATGTGTGTTACATGTAATTTTTTGTATGACAAATGTTCTCAGTTTTAGTTCCTGAGACGTGTTTTCACCACACAGGGTCACTTATCATGTCGAAACGAATAATGCAAAAACATAGTAACATGTTATTGTTAAACACTTTATTCCAAGTCTTCATAAATAAAATACTAAAAACCAGTGCTCTACTAGAAAGCCACAGCCAGCCCTTAGAAAACTAGGGAGCATTTGCCCAGATTAGAAGAACCAGAGCCACTGACCTTTGGCAACCATCTCTCTCTTTTTATTTCTAAATACTCGCCCAAGGATATTTTTCCATGTATCTTCAGGCACAGTAGGAGGGAGGGAGGAAGAGAGAGAGGAACCTCGACTGGCTGCCTCCTGCACCACCCTCCTGCCAGGGGCGAACCACAACCGACGTGCGTGCCCTTGACCGGAATCACACCCGCGACTCTCTGGTCCACAGGCTGGCGCTCTAACTGCTGAGCCGAACTGGCCAGGGCAGCGACCATCTCCTAGTACTGTGTTTAGGCACACGTGTGTGTACACACGCACACGTAAAAGGAACTGATCTTCTGGTGTTCATCCTTTCATTATAGTTCATGCTCCTCAAATCAGCAAACTCGATCCTTTCAAGTTTAACTTGAATCTTAAAATGTTCTCTTCCAGTCGGTTCAACCCCCCATGTCACCTTCTGACCGAAGGCAAAGGGGACCCCCCCCTGAGACGTGTGCTGTGTGCTCTGACCCCTGCCCACCCCGCCTGATGCCACCTTTCCCCACCCCCTTCCTCACTCTGCTGGCCCCGCACCCCCTGGGACCAGAGCCCTTAAGGGTCCTGCCCCAGGGCCTTTGCACTCATCATCCTGCCCACATCTGTCTACTGCCCTTGGCACCTCACAGTCACACTCCTGGGCCGTCCTTCTCTGACCACCACACAGAATAGCCCTCACCTGCCTTCCCTCCCCCTGCCTGGTTTTACGTCTCGGCAGCTCACGACATGCCAAGTCCTGCACCACACGCTTCAGGAGATGGTCTTGTCCTCACGCCCAGATCCCAGACGGCAGCCTGGGACTCAGTCGGTACTCCCGTTTACTTCTCATCGCGGGGCGCCTAGAACACTCCCCGCAGCTAAATCACTGTGGGGGCCTCCTCCTCCGGCCTGCAGGTGGGATTTACCAAAGCACACGTCTGGGCTATTTCTAAGGGCAGAAGCCAGAGAGTACGTTAACCGAGTCAAAGAAAGATGTGGCATCTTCAACACGAGGTTTGAAAGAAGACTATTCTATAAACACTGCCGCGGACTCCAAGGGGAGCCGTTTTTCAGACGAGAATGAACTGGCCGGAAGGGAGCGGAGTCCATGGCTCCGCCGGGCGTGCGGTGGGCTTGTCTGCCCTGCGCTGCTTGTTTTCAACGGGCAGCTGAGCCACCACCTGGGAATGTCCCTTCTGTGCTCAGCAGAGCGGCAGGGAAACTTCTCAAAGAGATGAAGGCAAGGCAGCAGGAGAAAGCAAACTCAGCAAAGCAAAACATTAAGAAAATGACATTGTGAGCCAGCTTCCTGGCAACTGGAAGAATTATTTCAAATTCCACATGTAAACTCAGAAATCACATCTAAAAAGTGAAGTGTACCCTGGCCGGTGTGGCTCAGTGGTTGAGCGTCAACTCCTGCACCAAGAGGTCGCCAGTTCGATTTCCAGTCAGGGCACATGCCCAGGTTGTGGGCCTGATCCCCACTAGGGGGCGTGGAGGCCAGTCGATGTTCTCTCTCATGCATGTTTCTCTCTCTCTCTCCCTCTCCCTTCCTCTCTCTAAAATCAATAAAGAAAAAAATCTTTAAAAAATAAAGTAAACTGTATTAAAACAAATAAGTAACCATTAAAATAAACTAATTCTGGCCAATATTTAAATAATGCAGTTATATTAATATAATGTAAGCTTCTTTGAATCCATAGATGTTAATGAGCAATTAAAATGGATCTAAACTTTTACATTAATTTTGCTATATCTAGAAACATCTTTTATTTAAAAGCTGAAAAACTGGGGGCTCTGAGTAAGTAAATGCTAGAATTTTACCAGCCCCCTACATTTTCCACATTATGCAGAAAGAAAATAAAGTTAGGTCAAATCCATCATGTAAATACTTGGCCATGAGAATTAGCACACAACAAATATTATATATATATATGTGTGTGTGTGTGTATATGTGTATGTGTGTGTGTATATGTGTATGTGTGTGTGTATATGTGTGTGTGTATATATACATATACATATACATATACATATATATATATATATATATATATATATATATTTAATCTTCACCTGAGTATATTTTTCTATTTTTTTGTTCAGAGAGAGCGGGAGGGAGACAGAGGAAAAGAGGGAGAGAGAGAGAGAAACATCGATGTGAGAGGGACACACTGACTGGTTGCTTCCCACCCGCAAGACCCTGACCAGGGCCAGGGACGAACTGCAACCGAGGTACGTGCCCTTGACCAGAATCGAACCTGCGACTCTTTGGTCCACAGGCTGACACTCAAATCGCTGAGCCAAAGGGGCCGGGGCACAACAAATGTTTCTTCAGGAAATGAGGAATATCCACAGTGAGTCAGTTCACTCCGTATTGTAGAAACTGCGCCCCGGGACTCCAGCGAAGGAGCTGGTGGAGGTGCAGCGAGTGGGCGTCGGCCGCCACACCGACTCCCCTCCGAGCAGTTCTTCCTCAACTCAGTTTGCTACGTCGAGTTTTCACAAGATCTCGCATTTGGGAAAGAAAAAAAGATTCTATAGCTAAGAAAAGTTTGAATGTCATCTTGTTAATACAAGAAGATAAGGTTTTGAATAAAAGATGTGTTTGAATCACTCATTTCTGTA